CTTCCCATTCAGCAGAGCTCTGCTGAAACCATTCAAACAGCCCCCTAATAAACGCCGTCACTCTCCTTCTCACACACACACACACACACACACGCACACACACACGCAAACACACACAAACTGTCTCCCTGTCTTTCTGTTTGTCGTCCCCCTCACTCACTCACACAAACAAACAGGGAGCCAAGTTCTCAAGGGATGGAAAGCCGCACAACTCCACTCAGCAAAAGCAGACACTTTGGACTCCCACTGCCAGACGGGAGAAGAATGGAGCAGAGAAGAAAGAGAGCTTGTCACTCAAGGGAGTTAAACTTTTCCAGTGTTATGGACTCGGCTGACCTTGTGAGGACACTGACAGTCTACTCTGTCAGGAGAGAGAGTTCTGTTTGCAGATATCACACTGACATCCACCACACCTGGCCCTGAATCCTGATCCCCCTCACCCCTCCACAGCCTGATCCCTCCACATACTCAGTCCAAGAAAGCAGAAGAACAAATTCACAACTCCCAGTCAAGAGAGTCAACCACACTGTTTATCTAATATTGTGTATTTATTACCACAGGGAAGAGTTCCTTCTTCTTGACATGAGTTAAGGTAGACATTATTTGTCTGCAGTATTTCACCTAGAATTATACCAATGCCTTGATCAAGGGCAATGTCAGGACTGTTACCAAACATTTATGTCTTTTAAGGGCGGGAAGCCCCTTAAGACACTGCACTCTGCACCCATGAGTTACTGCAGGATAAACTAAGGTTTCTCATGGCTACCCATATGATCTGAATGTCAGCATATTAAATATAAGTCTAAATATTGGAGGGATAACATTCATTATGACCAGAATCAGCACAGAGAGAGAGAGAGAGAGAGAGCTGTAGGATACCTCTTGTCATGGCTTACGTGAGGTACATTTAACAGTGAGGACATTTGAAGTTTGGTGAGTATTAAAATGTATGTGCTGAGTTTTACATCAATCTTTAAATAAATGCTCCTTGTATGATGCCAATGGAAGAATATATTATATTGTCTGATTTTATGACACTTAGGGGATTCCCAGCAAATTGTGCTATGTGATGAACTAGGTCAGAAGTGTACTACAGGGTTATTCATACACAGACTGTGTCTTACAATACTATTTGTCACAGTTGGCGCCAGCACGCGACACCTCTGTGTGTGTGTGACAAACAACATGACGGGGAGGGTTGGTTACAGGTACTTATAAAACACCTGTGTTACTGTATAGAGACATACAGGTACTAAGCACTAATATTGTAATGTTTCACGTAAGGCTGTTTGAGGAACACTCAATATTTCTACTATTATTATTACTTAATAACTATCTTATGGGTTTAAATGCGACTGATGACAATGAGGAAGTTGTTATCTGCTCCCTTCTCTAACAGAACTGATATATATATATATTGGCATTATTTGAATTATAGCCTAGGAGTTGTTCAGATGTACATATTAATTGCTGTCTGACATGAAAAGAGAAATCCTGAAAAACTGAAAAAGAATAACAAGAAAAGAAGTCCAACATCCAGGCCCACTTTAGCCGCCTAATGAATGTAAAATAGTTTCAACTGAATCCACAAAAGACAATGAAGTTTGTGACTATAATAAGGCAGTAAAACCTTGCATTGATGACCTGTTTTTAACTTCCATCTAATTGTCAATGAGTGCACACATCTCCCTTCAAGTGTTCTGCCTGGGGCATGTGGAAGTATTACTTGATCAATCAGATCAAGTGCTGAAAAACTAAAAGTTTGCGAAAGCAATGATATGAATTTCAATGATCTTATTTCCTTTCATGACTCTGTAAAAACAAATGAAAAAAAAATACCACAATGGGAGAGTGAAACACAAAACCTAATGGTTTGGAAGGGAAGTGAGAAACAGATGAACAAAAATGCTAATGGATGTACTGATGTACTGATGAATACACTGTTAAGATAACTAATGAGAACTGAAAAGAAAACAAAAACATGAACAGATTAAACATTTTAATAAGAACACTTAAGTAAAAAAAAAAAGATTTTCAAAACTAGAACTTTGAGTAACATTAATAATGCATTGTCACAGATATGTCACAGGTACACAATAAAAACAGCTTTTATATGAGGGGGTGTGTGTGTGTGTGTGTGTGTGTGTGTGTGTGTGTGTGTGTGTGTGTGTGTGTGTGTGTGTGTGTGTCTACTACCACACAATCTAAAATCAATTCAAGTCATCTTAAACAATGACCAAGAATAAGTTTTTGTTAACCAAAACAGGGGATTCATCAAGCTTTATTACAAATCATCAAGAACCATAACCAGTTGACAGTACAACAATTCATCTAATACTGTAAATGCTCAAGCTGCAGGTGTGAAGACCCACACAGAATAAGAATCTTAAACATTATTTTATTTTTCTGCTGTTCTTTATTAGAAACCAGCACCACCAGAGTAACCTTTGACTTTCATCGGGTAAGATTCAGAGACAGACAGGAAGAAAAACCAGGCGTC